CACTGAGTTGCACCCACAGCTTCTTCTATTTTATTATTATGAGACAAGGTTTTGCTAAATTGTCTGAGTTGGGCTTGTACTTGTGAGCCTCTTGCCTCAGTTGCCCCTGTACTTGGATAGCAGTCGGGTTCCACCACACCTGGCTATACAGGCTGTTTTAAGGGTGGTCCAAAGTGCTAATTCCTGACTATGGCTTGGGTCCAGAGAGATTTAAATCTCCTGGTTTTAAGCTTTGTGGGTAGGGATGAGCAGGCAATGTGACATTTCAGATAGTCCAAGGAGGCAGGGCCCAAGGTCAAACCTAAGGGCTCATTCAAAGCCTGGGCTGAATAGTGACTTCTCTCCCTCATCCTGCCTCCTCTGTGCTTCTGTCACTGGAGAGCCACAGAACCAGGTGAGCCTTCTGTAGACAAAAGCAGACCAGACCAGGTACGTAGAATTGGCTGCTGTACTCTCTGTTTGAGTTTAAGACTATGGAAAGAAAAATACCTTCCTGAAACTTAATTGCTATCTATAAGCTTCATTTGCATATGCTTCTATTTGTCTCTTAAGGCAAACAGTACTAGGCACAAACACAAATAGTATCAGTAATGATAACCTTTAAATAAAGGCTTATGTCCACTAAGCTTGTATCCCTGCGGGTGGATTTATAGGATTCTGTCAGAATCCGTGAGTCCCGGAAGCTGTGTGTGTTACTGATGCCTGCAGAATCGCAAAGGAGGAGAGCTGGGTAAGGACTGGCCCTGCACTGATCAATGCTGATCGGAAGTCTGATTTCACTCTCTCCCCTTGGGCATCACCTAAAGGCCATGACTCAAGTAAAACTGTTTAATGTCACCTTTTGCTTTGGAAAAGAAAGTAATTTTAAATTAGCTTTAATAACTGTGAAATATAATCAAATAAAATATGATTATATTTCCCTCTATAAAACTGGTAAACATTGCCTTAATGCCCCACTGCTCACAAGGATATGAAGATTGGAAAATTCTGTACTCTGCTAGTAGGACTCAAGATTCTAGGGTCTTTCATATAATAAGTTACCAAAATCTTGTGAACTAGAAATTTCACCTCTAGGAATTTAAGAACATTATAAGAATATGTGTAAAGTAATGTGTTACAAAACAGTATTTTAAAAAATACTAAAAATCAAATGTCAAATAATAAAATTTTGATTCAAAATTATGATAAATCTGTTACCAAGGTTCTGGGGTACTGTGGGCTCCTTCTAGAGATTCCTTCTAGGTTCTTGGTGTCCTGAGCAAAAAACTGGACAAGTTAAGCTGCAAAAGTCAGCAAAATTTTACATTTGTTAAAAGTATTATAGGTAGGAAAGGAAGATGCTCTGCAGAGTGTGGGCCTATTTAAGTAAGAAAAGGAGAAGGCCCTGCACCGTACAAAGCAGGCCAGTGAAAAGCCTCTCGCTGGTCACAAGGTTAATGGTTGCCATCTTCTATATCCCCCATTTTGACGTCAGATCCAGGCTGTTTTATCAAAAACCTGCTTGGTCCTGTGCCTAAAGAACTGAAGATAGTAGTCCCTGCTTGGTACCGGCAGTTCTGCACAAGTCCTAGATCTCTGCAATTGACAGGTCACACCTACCTGCTCAGCTGAATTGCCAAACCCTAATTTCCTGCCTCATATATATAGAATAGAGTCATTTGCCTTTAGTACACTTTTAGTCCAACTACTTAATTCAGTCACTAAATTAGTTTAAATTATGTTGAACTATAAAATGTGTTGAATTAAAAGTTGCTAAATGATATGCTGAAGGGACAAAGTAATTTGTATGTAGAATTTACAGCATAAACACACATTTTCACAATACATAAGCTACAGAAACAGATTAGGTGCCTATCAACAGACAAATAGGTAAAGAAAATGTGGTGTATAGACATGGTGGAATAATATTCCATCATAAAGTAGAACAAAATCATATCATTTGCAAGAAAACAGATGTGACCAGAGATTACCATGATAAACAAAAAAAGCCAGACTGAGGAAGTCAATTATTACGTCTGTTCTCTCACATAAAAACTGAAACCTTTAAAAATACAAAAGAGTATAAGAGTAGGAGGGAGTTACTAAAGAAGAGACAGGGGCTAGGGCATGGGAAGAAGGAAAGGAAGAGGGGATAATGTGGTGAAAATGAATGATATTATGTACATGCATGAATACATCAAAATGGAATCCACTGTTCTGTGTAATAAATATACATTAACAGAAAAAAGAAAGAAAGGAAAGAAGGAGGGAAGGAAGGAAGGAGGGTAGGAAGGAAGGAGGGTAGGAAGGAAGGAAGGAAGGAAAGACGAAGGAAAGAAAGAAAGAAAGAAAGAAAGAAAAAGAAAGAAAGAGAGAGAGAGAGAAAGAAAGAAGAAAGAAAAGAAAGAAAGAAGAAAGAAAGAGAGAAAGAAAGAAGAAAGAAAGAAAGAAAGAAAGAAGAAAGAAAGAAAGAAAGAAAGAAAGAAAGAAAGAAAGAAAGAAAGAAAGAAAGAAAAAAGAAAGAAAGAAGAAAGGACAGTGGTATGCAGAATTGTTAACAGAGGTCGTCTCTGCACGGCAGACTTCTGAGAAATTTTATGTGTTTGTGCTTACTCATACTTTCCACATTTTCTAAAACAAACATGCACTCCATAGTGAGAACTAAGAAACCTGTGGCTTCCTTCACTTGACAGAATGAGGACATGTTTGTTATGTACAGGTGACACCCGAAACTCTTTGCTTATTTCCTGCCAGTGAGTCCAATTGGGACAAGGGGTGTTCAGAAACAGAGTACCGGCTCACTCAGGATTTCTGTTACCTCTCGCTTTCCTCCTAGGAGTTGATCTTTTCATGCTGGCACTAATATTCATGTTTTCTGCACCTTTCCCTGCTAGGACATCCTTGACCGTCTTGCTTTGGTTTAAAATCAGGAGAATCTTGAGGATCTTGGGATGCTGTTAGCAGAAGGAGTCTTCAATGGATACTCAGATATTTCTGTCGCTGCTCAGTGCCTCTTCACTGAGGGGCCAGATTCATAGTCAAGGACGCACACTGGGCTTCGGGGTCAGGGAGAGGATCCTTGCAGAATATGACTTCAATGACACTCCACTCCAAGTTTGATAAATTAGGGAGCAAATGTGGTCCCAGGGGTGGGTGTAGGTGCTTACAATACTGGCAGACTGACCATACGTGGTGAGTTGAAGCTCTCAAAATCCTCTTTCTCAAGCAAATTCCTCTTCCATGGTGACAGGGATTTACTAGTTGAAGCATCCAGGACATGGTCAAGATGGGGAAGGGTTGGGTATTAATGACCTCTACTACTTCCACTGTTTACATTTCAAAATGTAGGCACAGTTACTAACATTCTTAGTTTTACCTAAAACGGGGAGTGCCATGGCATAAGCAACCTAGTCTATTATCTGAGTTTTTCCTCAAGTGTTGAGTGCTGAACCTGGAGTATTTTCCTGGTGTGGAATTATTTCTGATGCTCCATAATTTGAAATCTGCTACACAATTATGGAACAATCATGTCTTACACAACTAATATTTTTCCATTTTGTAACCTATAGAAGAAACATGAAACCATTGCTTACATTAGAGCATAAAATATAGATGCTGTAATTTGGGGATTGTAGAAATAATTACTCAGAAAATGGTAAAAGAGGGGGCCAAAGAGAAAAAGATAAACTTCTTCTATATATCTGTATATAGAGAGACAGAGATAAATATATAAGTTCACTCTAATGAATAAAATCATTTTGAAACAAATTTATATTGGTATAGATTTCCATATATACACTTAAATATATGTATAAATACATGTATATAAATATTTAACTCAAATTTATGTAAAATGTTAATCATGAAAATGAATTGCTAAACTTAATCATTAAAGAAAGATACTCTGTAGATGAAGAATTCAAAAGAAAGCCATAAAGTATGCTCCAGCACTCTGAGAGGCTATAACTGAAGAATCACATGGTTGAGTCCAGCCTGGGCAACTTAGAAATTTAAAGGTGCTTTCTCAAAATTCAAAGTAAAAAGGTTTGTGGCTGTGTTTCAGTGGGGAGACCCTGTGTTCAATCGCCAGTACTGCAGAACTAAACAAAAAACAGAAACAAAAAGTACCATACTATCCTACTAAAAATATCGTCTGTTATCATTCATCTGTTGTGTGTTAGGTTCTACATCTCAAAATTGCTTCTCATTTTAAAGAATAAATGTGTCATCATTAAACAAATATTCCTAGGAACACAGAGCCCTTAGTTGTTGATAGACTGCAATATAGTAAACTCGGAAGAACTGGCACAAGGACAAGCCGGGTGCGTGCTCAGGGACTATGACCAGGGTGTCTGCATCGCACTGGGGGCATGAGAACAGGGGCCTCCTAGGGGGCCTGGATCACCCAGTGGGTTTCAATGTACGAGTCAGATATGGAAACAATGATCTTAAGGTGCTCAAAGAAATCATGTAAGTCATTCATTTAAGTTACATAAAATAAAACTTCAGATGTACACTTGACTTAGTTATATGGAAGACCACAAATAAAATTCTGTAAAAATAAGAAGCAAGATTAATTCTTAGAAAAATCTATTGCTTTCATTTCCTCCTTTACACAATTTTATTTATATGGCTTAATAAAGTATTAATACTTCAGTAGCTGCCAAAAGCTTGTGGCAAATACAGGACACACAAACCTTGTATCACTGAGGCAGGAAAACCCAGCAGGCCTCAGAGCCATGGAAAGGTGGATTGCAGTCTCCACAGATGTTGCAGGTGGGGGTCTCTGGCCTAGACTTGTTCTGATCCATGGTGAGTTTCCAGGCCCGGGAATGGAGGCAGCCACTCGAGTTCCTTTCTTTTTCCTTGCTGCATGTGGACAAACTGTCTGTGGCTGTCTCACTCTTACGCTCGTTCCTCAGGGCTGTGTCCCCTGAGAGACCGCTGAGGTCATCGGTGTCCGAATTGTGAGCACACTGCTCACATTATGCACAGGATGATGAAGAAGATGCGTCCTCCTAGGCTGCCCCAGGAGCTGCAGCCCAGCAGGAGTCTCGGTGCTGAGGCCTGTGCTGATCACCCGAGGCTTGGAAGAGGTAGCCCAGGTAGTAACAGAGACCCACCATCGTCAGAGCCCCACAGCAGCTGTGTGAGCAGACAGGGCATGCACTGGCTTGTGTGGGTTGGAAATACTGTTTGTAACAGTCCTGGCTGGACTTACTGGCTCACTCCTGGGAACAGTGTCCGCAGACACCCAGCATCCAGGACAAACTCTCCAGCTTCTCCTCATTTGCTATTTCCCTTTTCTCATGAAGCCTCTTTCAACCTAAATGGCAGCTTTGAAAGCTCAGAGTTCCTCAGAGTGCATCTCAAATTGAGAGTGAGTTCTGCCCACTGCTCTACTAGGACCTGTCCAGGCAATTGCCCAAAAAGTTTATCCACATTTACCGGCAACATTGCCATGAGACACTTCCGAGACAACCATGAAATCGTTCTTTCCTCCTCCAGTGGGATCTCTGGTGCCTGGGCTGTCTCTCTCTTTAATAGAAAATGGCCCAGACCTTATGCTGTGAACAGATTCTTGAAAGGAAAAACAATCGGCAGGGAGCAACACTGTCAAGGAGACCCAGCGCTGAAGAACAGCGCACTGCAGGCAGCAGATCGCGGGTCAGTACAGAGGCAGCAGCGCAGAGGGCTGCGGAGCTACGTCAGCTACGTGGATGGCGTAGTAAACTGCCGGAGAGAGGGAATCGCTAACCAGATAGAGTTCACCTGCATGGATAGTAATTGTAAAGAAGAAAGCAAAAGAACAGGGCAATGAGGGCTTTGTCACTCCACTTAGAAGTTTCAAGTTTTCCGTCATTCCCGAGGGCAATTTCTATCAGTTCTCCCAACACCCTCCTTCCTGGCTGCCACCCCGCTCTCTCCTGGAGACCCCAGCCTCACGCTGACTGCAGGGACAGTTTGGAAATTGTTTTCAAAAGCTACCAAAGGATATCCAAAATCAGTTTATTTTGAATTCCAGGTGCGTGCGTGCTTGCATGCTTGTGTGTGTACATGTATGCATGTGATAAGACTTTTAAAGAGCAAAGCTTTTGTAAACAAGGAAGGGAGAGGAGTTGAAGGGTGAGGAGGTGAATGGGGGAGAAAGGAGAATGAAGATATATCACGTGTAGTTGCACAGTCTCTATGAGGAATAGGATTCCTATGCATATCTAAAGTGTACCAACAAAATTAATTTTGGAAAAAGAGATTAAACAGCAAAGGAAATAATCAAAAGAATGGGAAATCAATCCATAGAATGGGAGAGAAAATTTGCCAGCTATTCATCTGACAGAGGGTTAATATCCAGAATATGAAAAGAACTCTAAAAACTTAAAAACAAAAAAGCAATCTAATTAAAAGTGGGAAAGTGATTTGAATAGACACTTCTCAGAAGAAGAAATGCAAGTGGGCAATAAATACACAGCAGTCTTACTGAACCATGAAGAATGAAATCCTGTCATTTGCAGGAAAAGAAAAAAAAACAGAATTAAGGAAATCACGTTGGGTGAAGTGAACCCAACATTAAAAGACGAGAATTATGTATATGTCCTGTCTCATACATTAGTAATAATAATAGCAATAATGTTAATGATAATGATGCCAACCTGGAAGTAGAAAATGAGCTATCAGGGACTGAGAGGGGCTGTGGGAGGGAAGGGGTGGGGCAGAACACAGGTGGATGAACATGATCTCTGGAAAATGTATGCAGACATAGAAGGTCACAGTGAAACCATTAACTGGTAAAAGTAACCAGTGTTAATAAAGATGTGATTGGCTACAGTGGAGTGGTGGGGTTTTGCAAGACAACTAAGTTATAGTCCACCCCAACACTGACATTATAAATGCAACATAAATATTACCTGAGTCACCATCAACAAAAGAGATTTTCCTAGTACCACCCTGAAATCTTCCAGATGGGACTCAGAATTTTCTAAGGGCAATGTATTGCCCAGTAACCACGCTCTCACAGCTGTCCCAGCTTGCTTCTGCAGGAAACCTACTTTCTTCAGCTTCTGCTTGGCCTGTGCTCGCTCTTCCAGGAGGGTTACAGTGTGGAGCAAGGAAACCACCCAGGGTGCGCTGAAGCTCCAGTGGCGCAATCGGTTAGCGCGCCGTACTTAGATAACAGAGCGCGTTGCTTCGGTCCTGTGTATTTTAGGATCGCTGAACCTTGCTGTAAAACAGCACTGCTTGGGCGTAAGGTTTGAGAGCCTCTGTAATGGGCCTTCGGCTCGCAGTTAGGGGACGTCAGTACTGGCTGCAGGATGGCCCCGAGTGACGCAGAGAACGCACGTGGGCGTGAGGCTCCTCAGCTCAGTCGCCTCTCCAGCTGCTCTGGGTACCGGGGAGGGAGCGGCCAGAGGAGCTCGTTCTTGGCACGCACAGCTGGAACTCAGTGTTTCCGCTCTGAGGAGGAAGGCTCCTGCAGTCAAGAGGGCGGAGCAGAGAGGCCAAATGAAAAGCTACAGAACAGCTGTGCATGGAGCCCCTATATTTATTATTTATTTACTGGACAGGTCCTTCCTTTTCATGTACAGTTTATTGGTCAGTTCATTCTTTTATTATTATTCATTTACTAGATGATTGCTTTTTTCGTATTCTAGGAGAAATTAAAGGAGAAGAATTCAAGACTAGAAAATTAGGTGGTCAGTGCATGTCTCCGGTTCTCACCATCAGCCTCTTCTGAGTCTCAGCCTGACCTTCCTTAAAGCAGCAGAGTCTCTCGAACTCCGGGATCACTTTCCATTTCAAGAGTCTGAGTGTGGGTGACACTGCTGGAGCCACGAATACATTCCATCATCTGCCTCCACCAAAGTAAAAGATATTACAGTCAAAGACACATTGCCATCCATCTCTCTCAGAACAGTCCCCATTGCTTGAAATGTACCTTCCCACTGTCCTTGCCACTTTCTGAAGCAGTTCTGGAAGTCCTCTTCGTAAGTGTCTTTTCGTGAGTGCTTCGATGTCCTGAGTCAATTCAAAACATTTGCAGTAACTTCGGTCAAATAAAAACATTACAGTGTGTCCTCCTCCACCTTATTCTCTGTGTCTGGTACCGTGGGATTTCTGTCTTTTGCTCACTGTCCAAACGATCTGAAAGGCAAATATTTTTAATTAATTCAGGACTTTGACATAAGAGACAGCCAGGACAGCACAACCTAAGACCTTCAAGAAAGAAGACTTCCACAACTGCTTCACAAAGTGACAAGGACGATGGGATAAGTGTGCTCAAAGCAAGGAAGAACATGTTGTGAGAGAGTCATGGAACAATGTGTCTTTTATTACAATAAGTTTTAAAATTTAAACATTTACTGTATTTTTATCACACTTCACATCCATATCTATGTATGTACTATCTATTCATTTATCTATCCTGCCCACCTACCCATTTCTACCAATCTATACTGGTCTGCCATCTAAATCTGTCTTGTCTATCTTATCAATCTATTCATCTATCTTTATCAATCTTCATCTATATACCTATTAGTTGATAAATCTAGATATTTAGCTATCATATTTTTTTAAATGTTTTACTAGTGCATGTTTGCACTACACAACGATTACACTCATTGTGGGGAGTTGGTACACGTGCACAGCACAATTTATTTAGTCTGTTGTATACTAGTTTACACACGTAGTTTTTCAACATATGAATTTAGGTCCCCAAAAACATGTCCCACAACATATGGCCTTGTGCTTTTCTAGACCTGTGGCATTTTTTGTATAATGTTCCTTCTCACTGATATTGATATTGACTGAGCCTATTGTTCAGCTGGTGGGAATGTACTGTGGAGAGAGAATGGCTTCATCCGATTTTATCTTAGTGAAAATCATTCTACTCAGACTGAGTGTTTTGCCGTGGGGAAAGGTGATTTGGAAAGACATATGGGGCTGTAGATTCATCATTCCTGCAATTTTACTTCATGCTGTCTAGATAACTATTTTCTTTTTTCTTTCTTTCACTCTTTTTTGTTTGTTGGTTTGTTTGGTTGGTTTTTTGTGGCGATTGTTTTGTTTTTTGAGACAGGATTTTGCTATATGGTTCAGGCTGGCCTGGAGCTCACTGTGTAGTCCAAGCTGGCTTCAAATTCCCAGCAGTCCTCCTGCCTCAGCCTCCCAAGTGCTAGGACTATAGACGTTCACCGTTGTGCCTGACTCACTTTATTCTTAACCCTCCCAGACTTCATGTCGTTCATATATAGTAATTAAGTCATATTTGGGGAAGTATTTATAAACAATTTTCAGATCGTAAAGATAAGCAATTTTTCTTTGTTATATTCTTAATTCTATTTTTTAAATTTCCTCACAGCTTGCAGTTCTTCAGGGAAAGTTGCAGATACATATTTCTCAGGACAATGAAAAGACATCAGACTTCCCAGAAGAAACACTGAATGCCTGAGCCATGAGAAGGTGCACAGCCCACGGCCCTTCACCTGTAAGTGAGGAGCTTGGTTGAGACAGTGCCTAAGGTCTCTGTTTACTACCATGTTAAGGGAGTAAAGAACTTTATTCAATTCATCCGCAAGTGTTAGTCTCAAATCGCAACACCGGAGTTTCTGGAATGAGGTTTCCAGTGAGCTCACTGAAATCAGAGACTGCAAACCCGCACGCCCACAGACTGCCGGGGCTCGGCGGTTGGGGAGATCCCTGAGTCCTTTCCTTAAGATTCCTCAGAAATCAGTGAGAACAGCCTAGTGGAGGGGGTGACTCTTCTAAGCGGGGTGTCACTCAGTAAGTCCAAACTCCAGCTTCTCCAGCTTCTTCCACCATCACTCAGTGGCCCTGACCTGTCTCTAGAATGAGTTTGTTAGAAAGGGATGCTCAGATTGGTGCAGGTAAAAAGAACCCTTCGCTCCTGTCTGGCCTCTAGCCATCCCGTATTCACTGCCTCCAGGTTAGAACCACCCTGAGACGTGATCTCGGTAAGATTCCAGTTGGCCCAGCAAACACCAAGCAATCATTGCTCCCATGTAGATAAAAAACCTCATATACATTCTCATATTTTCTCACACTTCTCTCACATTCTTGAAAAAGCCAGTGAGTCCTAAATTTCACTGCCTCGTCTGCTTCATAGCATCCCATGTGGCCTGAATGAGCACTGAGATTCAGGTCCTTCCACCTTGGTGTAGGCGAAGTGCCACACCACAGCCGTGATGTGTGGCATCCTCAGAGACCCCTCGGGGATCGGATGGTCAGCTCCAAACCATGCAGGAATGAGCTGCCCTGAAATATTCATTAGCCAGTGGGAGAAGAGAGAGGGGAGAGAACTAGACACATACCCTATCCCCTTTCTCCCCTCCATCGTTGCCCTGAGCTGTGAGTACGTGACTACCCACTTTGTGCACATTCACGAACCACAGTGAAAAAGTAGCTCTTGGCAAGCCCACTGCGTTCCACTCTGACTCTTATGCAGGAACACCCACGCAGGAACAGACAGGAAAGCTGGTCAGAGCACTCCTCCTCTCGTTCACATGCCCCCTTTCAGACACCTTGGACTCGACACTCCCAAATCCACTACGAGCGTGATGGTACTGTCCTTGTTTTCTACTTTCCAGAGGACTCAGGCTGAGTGTACTGCTGCCACCAAAAGTGGTGCTTTATTTTCATAAATCACGCCCTCAAGATGGGATTTTGCAGAGGTTTGCTCACCTACCTGGGTGGCATGGCAGCCTATGGACAGTGAGCAAGGCAGTGATACCCTCCGGAGAGCAGTCACATCACGAGGGCTTCGGAGCTGACTGATGCTGCAAGCCGAATCTCGGTAGTGTGGATCGTGGTGGACCTGGAAGAGCCCTGTGATGGTGGGTTACAGAGACCACTTCCTGTGGTGCTAGACACTCTGCAAAACAAGACAGTAGGTACAGGATGGTCTGTTTCCAGCAACAACTTGCCTCAGGAGGTTGAGTTGTCTGCAACCCTACTGCTCTGAGCACCCAGCCAAACTGCAGAGCATCCAGAGGAGGATCTGACCAAAAAGATGACAGTGAATGAGCAGAGGCTGGGTGCATCTGTGGATCACATGTGCCGGTCTGGGCCCGGGGTGAGGGCATGAAATTTAGTTTGAGAAATTTTGAAAAGTCAACACCAAAATATTTAACCTCCAAATTCTCCTGAATCCCCCACACTGGCAGAGTCAGCCCTTTCTACAGAATGGAAGGGGAAGCAGGACGTGGCTTAGCGGCAGCCGCCTGAAGCAGGTAATTCACCACCAGATTCGTGTACTCTGCAAGTCTTGTCCTCAACTAAACCGGGACTGAAGCAGAATCCATGAAGTTAAGCACGGGTGCTGGGGACTGCTTAATATGGATCAGCACAGACGAGATGGAAATATGTGGAGAGGCCAGAGCATAAGCCTGAACAGAGGAGAGTGATCAATTTGCAGACTTCACCCGTGATTTGGAATTTAATGTTCTGTCAAGACTCCCTCGAGTTGGCCCTAAATATTTGAAGAAGCTCCATGCAAAGCAGAATGAATGGCGGCCTGTTGTTAATGAAGTGGGTCTGCCAGAATTTTTTAGCATAGTGTTAAAAGAGGAATCAATATTTTACAGGTAAAAAATCATAGTAGATTTATTCTGCATGGCCCCTAAGACAGTTCATGGATGAAATGGAAAAGCAGGTAAAGTAAGCTTCCAGCATCTTTAGGAAAATATAGTGAGTGTCCTCTGCTGAACAGAAGGGGGCCTTTTCTGTGGGCTGGGGATCCCTGTCTTGGAGGTCTCGGTGTTCCAGGACTGAGAGAGATGTGGCTGAGGACCAGGACCCACTATCACTGGGATCACAGGAGTCAGAAGAGACAGACCTGTGGCCGTGGATCAGGGAAACTTCTATCCCTTGGATCTCATGGTTTCTGGAAGAGAGACCAAGATGGGGATCTGTAATCAAAATCTCATGGAAAAACCTCAACAGAAGCAAGAAGAAACCTGGTGTCTGGCAATCTGGTGTGTGTTTGTGGCAATGAATCAAAAACCATGCCTTTCCTAGGAATCAGACAGACGGGCAGCTGACCAAGGGCCACACGATTTCATAATCACAAGACCTGGGAAGTGAACACACAGATAGCAGAAATATTCTCCTGATCCTTGTTCAGGGAATGTGGACCAGCTAGAGATCTTAAGGGCTCAAGCAGATCTTGAACTGATCTGATAGCTGAGGCCCAAGAAACTGCCAGCAGCTACAAGTTAGACTGGAAGCTCAGAGAAGCCAGTAAAGAAAGGGGCTTTGGATGGGAACCAGGTGGTTTAAGATAGTCAGGGTCCTGGCCCTGTGTGTGAGGGCAGAAGTCACTTAGGTCCCTGATTTCAATAGGTGGTCCTTCTGTGGCCACCATCCAGGATGTTGCTGTTCAGAGCTCTGACTCCCAGGAGAAGAGACAGGACACTGGCACTGGATAAAACCCAAATTCCTCTGACATGGCTGCTCCAGAGACCTCCTGACCCCTTTGGCTCTTCACCTCAAGGAACCCCTGGAGAGAATGGAGTTTCTATGCTGGCTGCAAGATGGTCCAAATTCCCACAGCCCAGTGGAAGGAGCAGGGAGTGTGCGCTGGACTCCACACAAGCCTCTGGTGCTTCAGGGAGACAAAACAACTGCACACAACAAGAGGAGACAGACAACTGAGGGTGTGGCTTTGGGCATCAAGGTCTAGGCTACCCCACCCCATCCCCCACCACTATGGACCACACTGGCCAAAGCGATGGTAAGATGGCCCTGGTCAGGGAGGATAAAGGACAGAAAAGGTGGTATTGTCCATGGTCTCAGAGGGGCCACAGCAGAGGGCCCTGAACGTTGGTCAGGAATGCTTTACTTAGTGATTCACAAGAGGCAACAAGCAGCCTGAGGTTCAGGGAGGAAGGAGTCCATGAATGAATGGACTCAAACCCCCCAGAAATGGCAGGAATGGAGAGTTCATTGCCTGACTGGACTTGAACTACTGAGAGAGCAAGTGGATCTCTAATTCTTACAGGGGACAAAAGCAAGATGAGGGCCCGTGTGACAGCACTGAAGCCAGAATGAGGGCGCAGGGACACGTCAGTGTTACGAGGGAGCAGACAGCATGATATACCCCAAATGACTCCCAGCAGGCTGGCTCTACTATCTTTCCCAAGTATCCTCCCACAGCACGCTGTGCCCCTGTCCACCAATGGCCTTGTCAGGATTCCAGAGCTCTAACCCACCTCACCACGCTCCTCTCACTGGGTCTTACTGGTGTGCCTGTGTGACTTCCGCCTCCCTTGCCACCTGCTGTAGAGTTGAATGACGCAATCAGAAGTCCAGGGGCTCAGGTCCCACGGGGTAGAACTCAGCAGCGAGGAGAGCATAGATGAAAAGGTCAGACCTCTTTCCAGACATGCTCACATGTTGAGCAGAGAAGCCTAATTGTCTTGTTGCTCTGTTTGCAATCACACTGATTACCCCATTGCATAACTCTTGTCCCTCTGCTTCCACTTCCTTCATCTTCCCTGTACCAGCTGCAGGCCCCCAAAATATGACATCAGAGCTGGAGTACATGTTTCCCGGAGGTTCTCACTGTGATGGTTCTTTGCGAATCACTGTATCATCAAGTACCATCCAATGACTGGTAACGAACACTGCCCCAGGCGCGATGGGGAGGCCGGCAAAAGGCTTCTGGATCTGGGAAAGGAAAGTTCCCTGAGCCCTGAGACAGAACACTGAAACAGCTTGCCAGGATCAGTGTCTGGCTCTCAGAGGAGGTTGGGGCTCAGAGCACTCTCTCAATTTTCTCAAGGTTACATAACCACACATTAGTGCCACTGGGACTGGAACCCATGTCTGAGGAGCCTTAAGCTACAGCACTTTCCACTATACCATTCTGTGTCCAGCAAGGGTTAGTAAATTCCCTCTCTGTGTTCCCCATAGGGTAGTTTCTGGAAACTGGATATTTGAGGCTGTGCTTCTGTAAAAAGATACGGACACCTTATCAGACTGTGTAACACAAGCAACAATGCCTTAGACAATGCCAGTTTTCTGCCTGGATCTAACCCCAAGGAATGCTGATGCCTTCAATTATTACTTTCAATGTTCCCAGTGTAATCCCCATGCTTGTAATTTCTCATGTTCACAGTCCATTCTCACACAGATTCCAACTTTAATACATAAGAAAATTGATATTTATGGTTCATAAGTCAGTTTAACATCTGTCTATTTCCCTAAGCCTGACCACGCCGGGTAAATGGTCAGAATTGAATTTTTGGAGCTACAAGTTTGAGTATTCTGAGTCCTAGACCATTTGAGTAATTCCTAAGGCCCAGCTTAATTTCTACACAATCTGATAGCCTCTGTACTCAAGATTACTGCTGGGAAATAACTGTTTCAAAGCACCCATAAGTACCCTACTAGGCTAGAAATGAATGAAACATTCCAACACCAAGCTGGCCGCCAGAGCTATGTCCACAGCGCTGAAATCAGAGTTAGGATGATGTTCTGCTACCTTACATAACGC